TGATGCTTTTACCACACATTGGATTATTGTTAGGGTTACCACCGTCGTCAAACTGCGGTTTGTTCTAAATCGCAAAAGATATCTGTTAGATAATTACTCATAATGACAGATGTAAAGCGCGGCATAATGGTTATACATTCTGATATGTGAATTACGCGATAGGGTAATTCAGTAACTTACCATGGCACAAATTAGATCGTCTGCCGAATTGTAGCCCCCACAAGCCCCGAGTCCAGGCGTAAAAAAAGTGCCTTGACCACTATAATCCCGCCGCCGTAATGGAGCAGCTTGAACTGAGTTGATAACAAAAATTGTTGTTGCCAACAGAGTAAATAGTCGCCGAGCCATTTTAAATACTGGTTCTATTTGAAACTTTGAAGTTTAAAACGGAGAGGATTTATCCAGTCTATGGATATTCCAATGAAAGAAAGGAAATAAGGTTTCGGGAATAAGGTGTGTAAAACGTGAGTAAAAGAATGGGTCGGGAGAAGATATTAATTCTTCCCTCTGGAAGGAAAAGAAAAATAAGAATTGAAGGATTGTAATAAGAAACCGTATCTTGGGGGAAGTGACCATGGCTTTTATTGAATTCGGTCGATGCATTCAGTGTAACGCAGACGTTGTGTCTTTAATACAATCGATTGAATGAATGGATGAAAGATAAAAGTAAGAACACTGTTGATATTGGTTAACGAAGAAATTGATGATTTCCTAAAAGGGAAATAACGGATTAAGTTTAAAAGTAGTGAGATATATACTGTGATACTTACTGTGTAGTCCAACATTGTAATACATAGTGATTGGCAGAACCATTGGCTGTTTGTAATTATAATAATTATGCTACGTTACCGTTATGCACCTATTGTCGTTCTGCCGAGGCTGTTATAAAGCAATTCTAGTGAGAAATTTCTTGGGCAATGATACAGCACATAATAATGATTGACCAATTGCGAAGCTTGCAAGTTTCTTGGAAATTATCATCCCTCTAAGAATTTCCTAATTGGGCTTTTTTATATTCGGTTATGCAAAAGACTGTTATACTGAATAAAACATGCGCATATTTCGCTCTACATACAAAAATTATTGTGCAAAACAATTTACATTGCTTAGGGATTCGGAAGTAGTTGGAGCGTCTCTTGATGATTTATTTAAAATGTCGATGTTCTCTCAGCTAACATAACATTAATTGGGAGGTTTTACGTCTGAAATTATGAAGGTTAAGGCTATTGATCGTAACTGTTGCTGCACGTCCAATTATTGCATGTTTTCATGTGATTGACTTGGCAAATTAAAAACGTGTTATGATGGCTGGCGACGAAAATAATAGTTCATGTCGAGATTAATTGAGTGATTGGCGATTTGTGTATCAAAAGTAAACAAACACAAATTAAAGATATCCATTCCACTCATGCGAGAATATATTTGTGTTCCAATATTGCACGGGGAATATCCATTATAGCTAATATTCAGTATTATGTCAGTAGTTGCGAATGTTTAAACTTATTCATGTATAAGAAAGACGCCAATGCATAATAAATAAATGAAAATTTTCATTTACGAACCACTTGCGAGTGTGAAACAATAAAAATTAAAATTTACTTTAATAGTAAAATATTCGATTAAGTTTAGAAAAACGAAGGTTTTATCGGCAACAACTTTAAAATTTCCAATTACTGATTTATATATACATAATACGTTCACAACACAAATAAAACGTCTTCATTTAACAACGACACACACGCACATGATGCTCAAGTGATTATGGCTTTTGAAGTTGCGTCATACTATATCTTAAATATGACTGTCTAGTTACGCTGATGATTCATAACAATTTTCTTTGTATTTTTGAAATACTATGAATATCTAACGAAAATTTTAGTCCCTAGCATTAAAAAGCGTTTGCATTATGCCGGGACTCGAGCGTATAACGTTTAGGTAATACTAGTCGGGCAAGATATTCTGGTTTAATAGTTTCGAATAACAATTAGAGTAAGCAATATAACGACTGGGTCACATGTAACAGTAAATCTAGTTTAGATTGGTAACCACATGAACATATCGGCTACACTAGTAAACAATAAATTTAAAACTGACAAATATTTGCCAGATAGTAATAGCGATAACGATAACCGATAAGGATGGATCAACCAAAGCAACAGTAATAAATTTCGTAAAACCTGTTTTCGTTTGTAACCAATACATACTTTGTGTAAACTTGGAATTTCATCGCTGGATTTTTCGTGCGAAAGTTTCAAGTCTTATGCTTAGATTATGTTGCGACACGCGCACGTACGCAAGCGTAAAAAGTTCAACAATGTTGTCGTCAAGGAATATCGTGCTAACTGGTCAAGCATCTAATCTGTATTACTGATGCTGATGTGATATCACAATATACGCATAAGATGCAGCTCAATGACATACAGTATGTTTTCGCTTCAGACTATTCCAGCATTTGTACTTTTCCGTAGGGTAGAGCGAATAATATCCAAGTCCTCGAACGAGTTTGCTGACAATTTAGAAGAAGAAAAAGAAAAGAGCTTTGGCGTGATTAAAAGACCAAACTGGCCAGCATTCGAATTATTGACCGTGCTATAATAGCTCCAACGTATGGTTACGGCGCTTCCGGCATCTTCGAATAAGGCCGTGACCAGATTGTGTTTTCCAAAAATTTCATGATATGATCCGGCGCAAATACGAGACTCGCACAAATTAGTGATTTTTTAATAGTCTAAATTGTAAGGGAAAGGTCGAACTTCATATATTCGTACCATTTATCTTTTCCATGGGAGACCTGGATAGAGAGAGCAAGTTTTCTAACTTGCTTACGGAAAAAGACGATTATCAATACTTACAGATACCCAACAGTATCCAGATACAACATCCAGACTCATCAGTACGCAAGAAGGTTGCTTCGGTCCTCCGCATCATAAATTTTCTTGCCGTTAGTTACGTCTAAGATTTTTAGAAAAAATCACTTGATAGGACAAAGAATATGAAATTTACATTACTGGTCGAAAGTGGCGGTGAAATTTTCGAAATTTCGAAATTTGGCGACTAGTAAAAATTGTCTGCATACATGTTAACATAATTAACGACCGAGCTTGCAAAATTTATTGTGATGCGAATTGTTTATTTACCAATAAGCTGAAGATTTTATGAAAGGCTCGCAGTCTTAAATGTCAATATTCGAGAGGGACTTATTTAGTCGGCCAAGGAAAAGGAGATCCAATGACTTCATTGCTATTATTCTTAAGACTACCAAAGGTCTCGGGACCTGATTTCTTAATAAAAAAGTCAATGAGACTAGAGAACTTTATTATAAAAAGATTTTCGACACGCCGATGTAAGAAGCATTTTCATCACAAAGACCTAGTGTCTTGCCTTGCTCATGTTCAACTCTCCCTTAATAATCACATCTAGATCGCTAATGGCAACCCTCGCGTGATATCTCGTCAAATTATCCTTGTCTACACTCTCAACATAGCTTAGAGTCGTGTATGCGCGTTTTAACAGATCTCATATAGAGTGTGAAAGCCAAGACCACGAAAAAGAGAAGTAAGGAATGCCACACATGCTGAAAGTTTGAGAATATTAATAAGCATTAGAACTGAATAAGTAGAATAGAAACAATAACAGCAGCAAACTGTAATTTATAAGAGATTTACATACCGCGCCGTATCTCGGGTGAATTAACGATCGCACTCCGTTAGGACGTGTACAGTATACACGTTTGTTGGACAGATACTATTATGCAAGAATGAAAAGATAATAACAGGCTCGAAATATTATATAGAGATAGGCCTATATGGAACGTATTATAATGGTTACCAAATAACCATGCATGCCAGTTTCAATTAAATTTCAGTCATATTTTCCATATCAAATCTAAGATAGTCTATACATTATGTCTGGCCACAGCTATGCCACTAAAGCAATCCCTTTCCAATGTCACGTTGATTTTTTAGTCACACCAGCCTCTCATTTGCGTCAAAACACTTTGTCTGGTTTTGTTGCAGCATGCCCCACATAAAGGTTATACAGAGGTCTGCAAAATAAAAAAGAAATATAAATCCAGACTAAATTTCGTGCCGTGAAAAATTCTCCCACAATAAATCAATATATAGTAATATTATGTAAAATACAATTAAATGTGTGTCGAAACCGTCTGTCCATCATTTTGTTCACACTTCTGCATCGCTTGTTTTAATAAAACTTACGCTGATACATTTGGTAGCACTTGTCGAAAACTTCACCAATACCAGTTTTTTTTATTATCTTGAAGAAACGAATCAAAGTCCTCTTCTTTAACTACACCATTTAGCATGGGGCAAGAATATCTACAGAAAAAAGATCTCCCCATATAGCCTATTTTAATAATACACTCATGTATAGGAACTGACCAATCGATTAAAATAGTTTATTTCGTATTAACATTTAAGTAAAAGTAGTTTTACGTTGAAAAAATAAGGTGAATGACCGTAGGGTTTACTGAAAGTATAAATAGTGCTAGACTGGCTCACATTATTCTCTGGCTCTTGAGTTTCTTCACTGTTTACAAACTTGACAATTTCCTCATCCCTCATTTGTTCCTCACTCACAACTTATGTAATTATTATAGTTCTCTCAGTTTTTATAACAAGTAATAAAGATCATTGGTTTAGTTTTTTTATCAATTACGTACTTTGCTCCAGTCAACGCAAACACTTTTGAATGTTTCTTGACAACTCCTATCCTTAGATTGTGAGAGATCCGTCTGTTCCTTTGTAACTTTCTTGCAATATATCGTACTACATCACTAATTATAATCATATCCGCTAATTAGAATGATCGATCTACTTACTGCAAATTCACTAATATTAATATGTTTCTACTACGCGTATATGTTTAGCCACTAACATTAGTTTTGATAACTTGATGGTTTTTACTTTTAACATTGATTAAGCTTTCTAGGACAATTAAACGGCACGTATGTTCAGCATTATTCTCTCTAGATGGCGGACGGATGGGAGGAAGACATGCATACGAAACCATAGGCGTTCATATGGACTAACTTTGCGGTTAGCATCACTCATTAAGTACAGTTGCAACTTAATATTATATTCAAAAGTTTAATTACATTAAAATACTGTATTTGTAAATTACACTAATGCGCCTTTATTAATTGTAAAAAAATCGAAAAAAATCTATCCTTCATTTGTAGGCAAATTTGACACTTATTTTTGTAGTGAATGACATGAATGAAATTCCCATAGATGAGTCAGAGATTTCAATGAACATGGATCGTAATATCGAAACAAGTCTTCATGATCGTAATCTATTAATTGAATCTAGAAGAATTGAACTTGCTG